GTTAATTTAATGCCGGTAATTTAAGATTCGACGCTCGATCACTTCGACCAATAATCCCGGAAATAACGATAAGAAAGGTAGAACCCTTTCTCGAGTTTCATTTTCTTCTCGAACGTGTTCGTCCGCGTTCTGTCATCGACGTTCCCACTTTTCCCCGTTCGCTTTATACGCCGTAAACACCTTCGATACGGGTATCGAATCTTTATTTTATTGCGGACATCAAATCCCCAGCGGTCGCGGCTGGTTCGTGTATCAGAAAGTTTGCGAGGTCTTCTAATTGGCAATTAATTTAATAAGCTTGATTAATCTTCGGGTTAAGTACGACCACAACGGGAACTCGCGACCGAAGGGAAGAATCAAGTTCGGGGGAGAAAAAGAAAAAGAAACGACGTATGTATTATTTCCTCGCATTTTTCGAAGCGGGACGTCAATAAGGTGCTTGTCTTTCTGCCTTTTCGAATATCAAACGAGGCCAAGAAAGTGCGACGGGCCTTTCTGCACGCGTCTTCATTCCTTTTCCTTTTTGTTTTGTAACCTTCTTAAAAGAAAGATATGCTAATTTAGCGAACGTACAGCTGCGCGTCAATTTGATTCCTTGGCCGTTCGCTACGCGATTTGATCCTGTAAAAAATGCCAGTCTAGAATACCGAGTCCCGAACATACGCAGAGCCAATGAATTACCTCCTCGGTGGTCTACTGATTTTATTTTGACGAATTTCAAAAAGCAGCCCGCGGCCACGAGGCATTAGTCACGGTGTAATTGGCGAAGCAAAGGATGGTTCTATACGAGGGAGCAGTGCTCCAAAGAATTTTCTCTTTCAAAGAGGATCGTTTGGCTTGTCCGAAAGTTTCTTGTAACGAACCGCTCGATTGGCAGACGTTATTAAAACTTTCTTACCTTTTTTTCTAAACGAGCACACGTGACGGACATACACAAGCTATAAAAGTAGCGCAGAGTATAATTGATGAGATCTTGATCGGCTGGGAAACAAAGCACGAAAATGTTATACTATTGTGGCGTTACTTCGCTTGTTTAGGAAATAAGAAAGATCGTAGGAAGGCAGAAAAAGGAAAGGGGATCCTTGTAAGAAGGCTTTAATCTTCAACTTCGTGATGGTTTTAATGAGTCCTTGATTATTCCACGGTTAACAACGGTCGGATTATGGTCATAAATGATGAATAATGAGGTTGACATCACTGTCAGCGATCCAGTAAAGACCAAGAAAATGCCAGGAGGTAGATATAAATTCAGTACTGTAAAAGTTATGGTCGTTTGACAATTGGACTATTTTTATGGGGTTTATCTCACTTTATGGGATTAATAAACAATTTCTCCAACATTCTTAGAATTTATAAATTTTCTTCGCCAAAATACGCGTTGTTTACATTTTAAAACATTAAAATCCTCCTATCCGTTCAGAAGTTATGACGTTTTAAAGATACTCATGAAATTTCAAGGTGACATTTCTGGCCTGAAATTATATTTTCGGTAAGGGATTTTTTTCTCAAAACCGAGTAGGATTTCAGGGGTATGTCTATTCACCAAAAATGATTGTAAGTGACCCCTGAAACAGAAAATAATTTTTCCACGACGATTTGAAAGTTCTTTTTTCGCCGAAACATACGTACCAATAGGCTTTCCTCCGATAGTCTATTAAAATTTCTTTGAAACGTCACATTGATTTACGAGTGTATCAGATGCTGATCGTTCCTACTTAAAAGGAAGTTACTCCATCATTCCCATTGCAGGGATTATGTAGGGGTCAGAACATCTATTCATTCATCTTACAAGTATGGAATAGAAAACATTTACGAATCGTGGATACTTTTAACCTAAATCGTAATATGACACTACCTAATGTGACGGTTACAATATTACCTTTTTTCTTCGTAATATTAAATTACTTATTTATTTTACTTTAATATAAAAAATGGTTCTAAACGCTTCTGATCATAGACCGAAATCAAATACCTGCGTTAAAAAATCAAAGATGGAACATTCCAAGTAAAAATTTAATTCTGGTTGTAAAAAATAATAGAAGTTTAATGAAATTATTCAAATGAAATATTTTTCTAATGCTTTCATCTAATAGAGGAAACGTTACGAAGACTTGTATTTAAAATAATTAAAAAATGCATTATATAATAAGCAATCAAATATATGAATAAAAAGTTACATTTTGAATTTAAAATATTATATTCTGATATGTACCAAATGTGTCGGTTTTTAAATTAATTATTATTTTAATAGAGAAAAGAATGACTTTTTTGTTTGTGCAACCCATTCAGCGTGTTGCAATGCATCGGACGAATCAGATTCATCCACCAAAGAACTCCAAAAGCACAAACCTATGTAGGTAAATTTATGATCATAAAGAAGAAAATTAAAATAAATTCTAATATAATTGCAAGACCTATGCCTTTTTTCATTACTTTAATTTTTAAAAGAAAAGAAAGTGTCTCTGATTGTGGGAGCCCCTTAATTTATAACAACGTATCGGACAAATCCAATGTATGTATTGCAGACTTCCAAAAGACATGTATTAGGTAACAAGTGTAATTATATCAAGAATAATTAGAAATCAGTGTAATATCAAACATACAATAAAATTTTCACTTTTTAAGAGAACTGACAAAGTCTATTTGTACGAACAAGTCAGTACGTTGCAATGCATCTTCTACTAAAAGTCTCCAAAATTCAAATTCTAGGTAACATTTATAATTCTGTAAAAGAAAATTAAATATCGGTATAACATATATGATATGAAATATTTATGTGTTTGTAGAAACCAATCCACATGTCCCACGCCCTCAGAAGACTTGAATTCAACTACTGAATGTGTCCAAACACCATGTTCCAAGTAGTACATTGTTTCAAAAACATTTAATAATAGCTATAATATTGTATAAGGTTACATTTTTATTTTTTACAGAGAAAAGATAACATCCGTTTGTATAAACCAATCAGTGTGTCGCAATACTTCGGACGAGTTAAATTCTACCGCCAAGTGTTACGAAAAACCGTGTTTTAAGTACTGTTTGCAATAATCAAGAAAACAATAAAAATCAGTTTAATATCAGAAATAAGTATAACATCACGTACGGTGTGGAATAAAAATCTTTTTACCGATTTCATTTATTTTAGAGTAAAGAAATTCAGCATTTGTAAAACCCGGTCTGTGTGTCATAGTGATACAAACACCTCAAGTTCAACTACCGACAATTCCCAAAAGCCGTGTAATAGGTAACATGTAACTGTAATTCGAAAGAAGAAAATACAAAATCTCTATAATACTATGTACAGTTTAATGTTATATATTTTACAGAAAAAAACTAAGTCTTGTTTGTGGAGACAGCATAGCGAGTTATGATGCATCAAACGAATCCCAATCATACGCTACAAACTTCCAAAAGTCATATACCGAGTGAGTTTCTAAATTGCACGGAACAAAATGTAAAATTTAACATAATATCATATAATATCAAATTTGTATTTTTTACTATTTTAATTATTTACAGAGGAAAGATTATTTTAGTTTGCGAAAACCCGATAGTGTGTGTTGATGTATCAAACGAATCCAGTTCGTCTAGCGATGTGTCCCAGAAACAATGCGCTAGGTAATATTTACAATTATATACAAAAAACTTGATAATTGATCTCATATTGTATCAAGTAAATCATCTAAATAACTTGTCTACTTTTGACGATAGAAAAAAATGCATTAAACTAGGTTTGCTTGGTTCGAAAAGACAAATATAACACAAACAATTTTTCGATATTTTTTTATAGCGGACTACGTATTTTTGTAAATGTGTCATCATTGTATTTGTCTATTCTGTTGTAACACTGCAACGATAAAAATATATGGTCCCATTTTTTAAAATATCCATGACCTTAAAATATGTTACCTTGAGAAAATTTTTTTGTATAGTATAACGATTACACCTTCGAACCGTTAAAGATTGATCGAATGCATTTCATTTTCTATCGTCAAAAGAAAGCAAATTATTCAAGTGACCTGTTTTATACTTTCGCGTCCTGTATACCGTTTAATTGATTGTTTTTAAAGAGAAAAGACAACTCCTGTTTGTGTAAACCAATCAGTGTGTGACAATGCATCGGATGATTCTACTTCATCCAACGAAGATTTCCCACAACCTTGTATTAGGTAATACCTATAATTATAAAACCATAGTATTATTCCTTTCACTACCGAGATTGAGATATCTAGAATTTTATTACATTAATAAAATGTAATGTTAAATAAAATTAAAAACGTCTTTAATACAAAGATCCGGACAAAAAACTTTTTTTATAATTGTAACAATTATTGTATCATAACGAATGGATAAATTTTGCAAACATACCGAGGAAATAGAAGGAAAATATTGCGGAACAGATAGTTTGTTAGAAACAGCTATGGAGAATCGAACATTAAATATACAAGATAGTTGAAAATTTTGTATTTACTTTTAATATTCATTCTCAATAATTATTATAAATACAGGAAATATTTTTGTCATTAATAGCTAATGTTTTGTGTTTATACCTTCACCAGTGTCATTCACTGTTGCCGTATCTCATTCTATCGCATTTTGTTTCGTTCGCGTTCTTCGTTACGCGATCGACTTAATCATTAATAACTAAGTACCTGAAAAGTGGAAGGGATTAGGTGTCTCAAGATCTCAGCTCCTAATAGTAGATGTCTCCTCCTCGGTAGTGAAAATATTAAAAATGACTATAGCATGATGCTTAAGTAAAAATCTAACATTCCACCTCTCTGATCTACTTATTTCTTAATGGAAATCTCGAGAGAAGCAAGACTTTGTACGACTGTACGTGTGGTAACTATTCAATGTGCTATAATATAATGGAAATGCTAAACCCTGTCATCGAGGAAATGCTCGGACAGCTTCCCAGGTAATGTTTGCATTATGATAATGACAAGGAAAGACGAATGAAAATAAGATAACTGAGAGAAAAGTAAAAGGTCTGAACAATGCTGCTTAGAACGCGACACGCGGACGAATCTCGTAGACACTGGGAAATGATGCTGCACTGCGAGAGGGCCGCATTTCCAAGGGCGGCGTCGAATTTGCCTTTGCCCTCGAGGGAGGTACGTATATCACTGGAGGAAACCCGGTGAATCCGTAAGCCGAGAGAACTCAATTAACCCAAACGGCTAGAACTCAATTATGGATGTCGGTCGGCGGGAACGTGCTGTGGTTGGTAATTAAAAAGTTATTATGCCCAGGCCCGTTTCTACTGGCACTTGTATTCAACCGCCGCAAGAAACTCACGCTTCTACCAGAAAGATGTAAATCATGCCCTCCTCGTGACACTGGCCAAGTGAGAATCGTACAGCACGGTAACTTAGAAAAGATTTGAATGGTCTTCCTCGGTCGTGGGTCACGCGTGCGACAGTACTCTTCGGATAACCAAAAATTAGGTTGATCCGAAAGTTTATTATTTAGCTAGAATAATGCGAAATTGGAAACCAATGTTGTCTGCAATAAGTAGATTGCGGATCTTTATACAAGTTCATATTTTTATTAATGAAATGGAAGCTTTGTAGAGGGTTGTCTCAACCCCTAAATTTGTATTTTATTTTATGTATTCCTTATATTTTTGTATATTAAGTGCATTCTGTACTTTATTGAGAATTAAAATTTCCCCTAAATGCATAAACATTAGCAGTATAGGAATAAGTAATCAGACAGCTTAAAGGAATGGTTTAGCACCATAACTAACAAGAGAACATACCCAACTCGGAAATTCAAACAATTTGGAAACTTTGGGGATACATAGTACATATGTAGATATGTATTACTTCGAGGGGTGGACATTAACCTTGAAATATTCGGCTAATTTTGATTTTATTACTATAATTTCCAAACTGTGCGAGATAGGAAAAAGTTTTCAAACAAAAGTTACTTCCTTTGTTTCGATCTGCCAGTTGGTAAAGGATTTTTTAATTGTTTGACTCACTTGGTAGATCTAGTGGTAAAAGAATAATTTTATTAGTGACATAATCAGCTCTTGTACAGAACTTCGACTGTGCCCACAAACTTCCAATAAATTACATTAGTTGTTCAGTATTTAAAATTTTCAATCAAAAGCGATCGTTCAGGTTTGGTTGGTGGATTCACCATTAAAACCATGACTGTGGGCAAAATGCAATAGCAAACGAGCGTCACGTTATAAGCGCACGATGATCAAAGCTTGAAAGCAATGTCACACATGTATCAACCACTTCAACCAGTCCATAATCATAGAAATTAATTATCACCTAATTAATTGGAGTAAATTGATTGAATTTAGCTAATCAATATTCGTAATTCACTGGAATTCGAGTTAAAGAACTGGAATCGCAGTTAGTTTCATTTATGTATGCTTATCTAACTCAGAAAATCTTGTCCTAAACACGACTAAACAAAAGATTCGACAGACACTGACTTTTCGTAACCGCTTTTATTTAAATTTCAAAGAAAAAAACTTTCCTTTCATATCTATTTATTACTCATTTTATAGTTATCCGAGAAAAAATTATTTCAGTTATCCAAAGAATACTGTACTTCCCACGAGTTTGAATTGCTGATATCGGGTCTTACGAATTCAGTATCGTTAGCATTTTGTCCAATGTGTAGAAATGAGCAAACTTCTTATCCAAATCAAAATTTCGAATAGCAAATAAAAAATAAACTAATGTTTATTTGCTAATTATTAAGTAAAAATAAAAATGAGAAAATAAAAAAATAACTTTTCTATTATTCGAATAAAAATTGTGCCCATCGCTACCCATGTACCCTGCACACAGATATCGGATCTCACGAGTTTTTTATCTAATAAGTAATTCATGACATTTTGTTTGAAACGTCCTTCAATCTTCGCGTTTACACTTTACAACTCACAGTATTCAAAGATATTTATACATTTCTACAGACTCGTACGTAGCCAAAGACGCAAAAAGGGCATCAGCATTTGGGATCAACTGATACGTCTAAAAACGTTTGATCAGATTGGCCGGGAAAACCTAATAAACAATCTCGCACAGCTCATTTAGTAAGTAAACTATACGCTAAATAGGTACAAGAAATCAAATAATATAAATAAAAGTGTGTTTTAGTCACCAATTTGTGTAATCTGTATAAAGTGTTTCTATTTACACAAAACATAAGAGTCCTCAACTGAAACTGATTATGCATACCGATCAAAGAATACAAATTTTACGAATCTGTGGCTAAAACGTTATATCTATCAAATTTTTAGTTATATCGTTAATATTGCAAAGAATCAATATATAGATAAAATAGTAAAATCGCTGTGAAATAGCAGACAATTGTTTAAATATAGTGAAACTCTTGATCTCATTTTAAAGTTATACCGTGTATTCTAGTAAACAGAATAGCCTAGAATCTATTTGTCTGGAAGGTTTGTCATTAACGCCAGACGAAGGTGTACGGCTCCTATTGGCATTGTATAATTCTCGTAAAACAATGAAATACGTGTATTGTTGGCGCGCATTTGAGAAAATGGTAAGCATCTCGGTGGAAACTGACGATCGCGTTGGATCAAGATTTTATGAAAATAAAAAGATCAAGAAATGCGATTGGTTCCGAGCAATCAGTTGTTTAGAGTATCTCACCACCTTATCTATAAACTACGCATATATAGCGACACCCACAGGAGATCTACTTATCAATCTGGCTAAGTATGATTTGACTACTTAATCTTTTTCTTACTTTTAATACGTTATATGCACTACTGCAGTTATTCTTAATCTTTTTTTTCACGGACCTCTTTCAAATAGGATAAAAACTTGCACAGATCGCTCTACAAGACAAAGATCAGCTAACGAACACCATAATCCTCCAGAAACTATTTTAGTCTGAATTCAACGTTCGATTTTAGCATTATCGCGATAAAAATAATTGTTGAAAGAGTTCTGGAGTGTTTTCAGGTTTTTGCAAAATTCGTTTCTTAAAAAGATATTATCAGAGAATTTTGAATATCAACTCTGTCTTAACAAAATAATTCTATCGATATTTAAAAGTTTTCAAAGTCGTTAACTTCTATGCTTTTCTTATACAGGGTGTTCGGCCACCTCTAGCAAAAATTTTAATGAGCGATAGTAGAGGCCAAAATAAGACGAAAATCAAGAATACCAATTTGTTGATGGAAGCTTCGTTAAAAAGTTATTAACGTTTAAAGTGCCGCCCTTACTGAATTTTTTTCTCGAAAATGCGCAAGATTTCGAGGGTATGTCTATTCACCAAAAATGACTGTAATTGAACCCTACAACCGAAAATAATTTTTCCACAACGATTTGTAATTTTTTAATTTTCTCGAATAATTTCACACCTTCTCTATTTTTTTTCTCGACAGTGGGCAGGATTTCGTGGGTATGTCTAATGACAAAAACTGATTGTAATTGACCCCCGCAACCGAAAATAATTTTTCCACAACGATTTGCAATTTTTATTCTCCTTTGAAAAATTTAGGCACCTAATTGGATTTTCAGTAAGGAATTTTTTTCTCGAAAGTGCGTACAATTTCGGAGGTATGTGTAATGATAAAAAATAATTGTAATTGATCCCCGCAACCGAAAATAATTTTTTTAGAACGATTTGAAAAATTTTTTTTCGCCGAAAAATTTCAGCACCTACTCGATTTTTTTTCTCGAAAGTAGATAGGAATTCGGAGGTATGTGTACTCACCAAAAATGATTGTAGTTGACCCCCGCAACCGAAAATAATTTTTCCAGAACGATTTGAAATTTTTGAATTTAATTGTTAATAACTTTTTAACGAAGCTTCCATCAACAAATTAGTATTCTTGATTTTCGTCTTATTTTGGCCTCTACTATTGCTCATTAAAATTTTTGCTAGAGGTGGCCGAACACCCTGTATATCAGCAGTTTAGCTAAGAAAGCTAGTAATTTCTTTGTACAAAACATAATGTTTCAAGACACTAAATTGAAAGGTTTATTTTAGTCTAATAACTATCCTAATGTCAAAGCATTGAAAACATAAAATTGATATTTTTAGGCATAATAAATATTTAAAATTCCCTTGGTGTCCAAGGACCACGGGTTAAGAACCACTGCTCTAGTACATATATTCTTTTAAGATTGACAAGTAGTTCGATAGTCCTTCGGTATTAAATCATATAATTGGTAAAAGTAAATTGGTTCATGGGAGCAATTTGGGAAATACTATTAATTTTAATAGCAAAATGTTTCTAATCTACTACGTTAAACATTAATATGTCTGTAAATAATTTCCATGTATAATAATTTCGTATCAGTTTCACTTCTCGAAATTAAATAATGCTCGTAGCCATCTAATGAAGTAAAGATGGAAACGTAGCAAATTATCAATTGCAGACTAATTAACACGAAAATCGAACATCTTATTGTAAAATTATATCACAGATGAAGTCATAGGATAGATCAAACATTCGCATAAAGTTTTGTTCGCACGATCATAGGCAAGATATAGAATAAACATTTCATCTTACGAAATTTGATGTTACACGGACTGAAATACCAATTAAGAAATCAGTGATTAAAACTATAATAACCAACTCAACCACTAAAATCAGTTAAAAATTTAAAAACCCTCGGCTTTCAGGCACAATTGAACAAAATGTAATCTGACTACATTTTCCAATTGTGATATAATTGTAAATTGATTACAAAAATTCCAAGTTCTATATATTATTGAACTTTATAAAAGTTTACAGAGTTCAATTTTCTCCTATAGATACATTCAATTGAAGACTTGAGATGAAGATGTTACTCGCACATATTCCATAAAATATATACCATATTCATTGTATATGCAAAGGAATATGTGCATAAAATGTGAACAGTTGTCACATAAATGTGATGGCAAGGAGAACTTTAATAAGGTCATTTCTATGAATAATAATATGTTATTACAAAGTGTCATTTAGTTTATAGACTGTTTGATATATTTTCGAATCGCAATTTCAAAGGCCTTACCACACACACTCGTACATATGAGATGTGCACCATGCGTACACTAACGCAATGTCAACCGAACACACATAGACTATTAATCATAAATCTTACAAAGTCATCGTGCCCATTGCCTTCGCTTACACGGGTAGCACCTAGACGCGTGAACGTGTGTAAGCTAGCCAATGAACACGGAATAATTATCCTAGATATCCTAAACTAAAAATTTTAATTTACGCCTAGCGTCTAACGAGGTGGTATGCTTCCGTTCTTTTCAGTTTCATTTTCATTCAAAATGATTCAACATTGTACATATTTGTAAACGTTCAGAAGGAACCTTAAACATGCATTAATATGAAAGTATTTAATTACCATCAAAAAAAAATTCTAGTTAAGTATGAATTACTAAAGATAATTAATTGAAGATTAATAATTGAGGTAGGTAACTAACAAAAAATTAAAAGTTGAATTAAATACGTTATATAATGTAATAATTTAAGTTGACAATTTAACAAATAATACATTAACCTCAGACAACTTCATCGTCGGAGTAAATTTTTTAAAACATAAAAAAAGTATTTTCAAAGCTTCGTTAATTTGGCTCAATAATCTACACGACGCGAAAATTCTTCTTATACAATAAATGTAACATCATATTTTTTGAGTAAATGGAGGGAATTTAATGAAAAGAATGATGTATACTTTGACTTAATCAAAATCTTTTTCACTCTGTTCCAAATGAAAATAGAAAAAAAAGGAAAATTGTGCACTGTTTAAATACACCAGTGTAGTTGCAAAGTGTGATTATAGTCATTTTAATAGGATTTATTGATTTTTTTAAATACATTGTATTTTTAACACTAAACCTACCGGCACTTCGTATAGCCATTCCTACCATAACCGGTCAAATGACCAGTCTTTCTTTTTCTCTTTTAAAAAAGAAGAAAGTTGTGTTTTGATGTTTATTCGTAAGACATCCTTCTCTTTTATGTTAAAAAATTTTTTAATTTTCATCGGATAGAAGATAAAACACCCTTGAAAACGAATTTTGTTCCAAGTCGATATCGTAGTTAGTTCTAGAGAAAACAACTATTTAAGAAAAAGTGCTGGCTAGTAATTACGCAAACATCCTGTATTTAAATTCATTTTCAATTAAATAAACAATTTATGATCCAGTTTTATCGAACACCAGTTGTACAATCAATAGGAATTGTTGAAACTTTTTTAGGTATATAGCGTCAAAGTAAATTTCAAAATAAACATAGAAGACAGCAAAAATTATAGTATCTGGTATAGTCATTGGATAGAGGATGAAATGCCCTTTAAAATGAGCGTTCGAACAAGTCGGTAGCTTTATTAGTTCCGGAGATATAGCGATTTTAATTTCAAGTCGATGGGGTGGCTAGTTTCGAAGATAGGGTTTGTTTACGTTTCGTTGTTGCGCTCGCGAGTTCATTGATCTCGCGCGCGTGACAATAGTAAACAGTGCGTAGTAAATTCTTAGAAATACTAGGTCAAAAGTAGGTCACGACAGTCACGTACGCGGAGTAGGTCAGCACCACGCACGTAAGACAAAGAGGCCCGACTCCGTTAGACGAAGACAGAGATAGTCGAATTAAAAAAAATTACCATTTACATAAATTACGATATCTCCGAAACGGAAAGTCGGATCGACAGAAACCAAAAACCATTTTAAAGGAGAGGCTTTGCCGCTTCTAACAATGCCTCAATAATTAATAAAATACTAACAGTTTTGGAACTGCACGCGTCTAAACCTTTAGTATTTTTAATACGCATTAATAGCCTTTTCTGAGACGGAAAGCAAGAGACAGCGGAATTGAAAAAATTACCTTTTACATAAATTATGATATCTCCGAAACGAAAAGTCGGATCGACAAAAACCAAAAACCATTTTAAAGGGGAAAGTTTACCGCTTCCAACAAAGGCTCAATTATGCAGAAAACATGAGTAATTTCGAAACTGCACGGGTCTAAACTTTAACTATTTTTAATACGCGTTGTTAGACTGTTCTAAGACAGTGGAAACTGTAGATTCTCTCTTGTCGTCTATGTTATACATATATTTCCTATTTACATTGGAAGCTAACCAGAATTTGGTATCAAATTTTGTCCAGTTTTTTACAAAAAAATATAAATCGTTCAACCGGTCAAGTGACCGGTCGTGGTAGGCAGACAGACTACATACTTTTCTCAGAAAATAAACAATAAGAATAGAAGTGAATATTGTGAAATTCATTGTACGTATACCTACTATAAGAAAAGTCGTGAAGTTAAATGGCGCTAAAAGAAATTGTGTGTTAGAAATTCTAAACGAAATTTTAAAAACGATCATTTGGCCGGTCACGGTAGGTTTAGTGTTAATTCATTTAGAAGATGTTTCGTTTTTTTTTGTAATATTACAACGTTACTTAAATGCTTATCAGTTTAGAAATTTTATACCTCTAATGTGCCTATACTTCGTCTGTGATTAAATTTGTTCCATTTCCGCAAATCTGTTATTTTATTAACGTACTATGGAAAACAAATCTACCGTCAAAAATATGTTTAATTTCAATCTAAGGAAACTTCAACGAAATTGGCAGTGGTTACAATTGTTGTGCCTAGAGGAAGAAATTTATCGGAATTCTGAATCTGCAAATAATAGAGAAATAATCCTGATACCTGACAAAGCTTGGAAGAAAGCTCACCTTTTGGCACCAGCATTGAAAATACAATACGCTATTAGTATAAAACAATCCTATATTAACCAGCAATATGCTTCATATTAAACTCGTACATGGCACATGTTAATTAATTTCATTTTTCAGTTGGAATACCAGAGTATGATATTCATAAAAGATTTTTTACAAAAAACACCCAGGTACATACCTTCGCATTATCGACAAGTATCGATCTGAAATTTCGGCAACCCTGGTTTCTCGATTGCACGATCAAAACACTCTGTTCGTGGTATTCGAATACTTTAGGTAAACTAAGCGACGAAATAATTGACGTACAAAGTACATTTATTCATTAATAAGAATTCCTTTTTCTATTTTAAGTCGGAACTATACTTCCATTACAGTATGTTTCACAAGAACGTTAGCTTGATATCGCAGAAAATAATAAGTATTTTTGAAAAATTCAAAAATAGGTTTAAAAGCTTGTCAAAAACATGCCAACACGTTGCGAGGCTATACTAAAAAATAAAGGAGATTCCACACAATATTAGGTAATTGTGTTCTACTATTTTATGTGCACTTTAAACCTATTTCTGAATTTTCCGAAAATACTTACTACTTTTTTAGATATTAACCAACGCTCTTGTGAAATATACTGTGTGTTCTATTTAAAATTATACAACATAAATGAAATTTAAACACCACCACTGATTACACTGTTCGACAGATTAAGGGGGTTACATTTAACAGCGTTAAAATTAATGTTTCGTTTTTAATTTTGTTCGTAAAGAATTAAATACGAAAATATTTTTTTAAAAAAAAATTAACTTTGTATTAATCTGAAAAATTAGTTAAGTGAATAATATCGATTTTCACACTATCCAGTATATTTGTGCCTACAATTGTGGCATAATCGGGAGAACTTGGATAACCAACTAAGAAAGCTATTTCTTAATTTACCGTCACTTCAAATTTTCGAGTTTATCGGCGAAATTCGGATGTTAAAAACACTTTGCGCTATGTGTTGTCAAATATGTTCCGGCAGTTGCAGTAATTATCTAATGACTAATCTATCACTTACCTTTAATATGCATATATCGATACTAACGATCGTTAAATATTTCAGACGTTTATCGTGTTAATATGCAACTTCAAGAAGTTATACACGATGACATCGATAAGGAAAAATGGATAAAAAGTATAAAGTGCTTAATGGTTTGTTTTAAACATGATTTTGACAGGATGGATGTTAAATTTGACATTAGCTTCTACAAGTTCTGAATAATATACATACGATATCAAGATAAAGGTATTGTGAAAGCACAAGTTTTATTATCGTTATAATAGACAAAGCTTTTGTGAAAAAGTCGGACGAGTAAATACTTTAAAAAAATGCAAATTATATTGATGTAAAATAAAAATTGCAATTATAGCAATGTATTTGTACTTTTATATTACAAATAAGTTATTCGGCAGGCTTTTTAAATACATTATTACGATTCAGTTGATTCTTGTTGTTCAAATTTAAGATACTTTGCTTCAACTTCGGTCCACGTAATCTTACCATTAGATAAGTCTCTTACTACAGTTGGAAGTTCATCCAACTACAATTAAAACAGTAATTTATTTTTTCTAGAATTATTCATCCTTCTGTTACAAACTTTCAAAAATATTTACTCACGTTTATTCTTACTTGTCCCATACTATCTCTTTCACGTAGTGTAGCACTATGAGGTGATTTCAAAGTATCAAAGTCTATAGTAATACCAAATGGTATTGCAATCTCATCTGTTCGTGCGTATCTACGCCCAATACTCCCAGAAGAATCATCTACTTTATGAGAAACGTCTACTTTTGTGAGATTCTGAGCTGTAAATAATAAAAAATACTTAAATAAGTACTTTTGAAACATTTTGAGCTTCAATATACTTTTAAAAATCAGTACACGTACATAATTGTTTTACAAATGGTACAAATTCATCATTACCACTTAGTGGTAATACAGAACACTTTAAAGGCGCTACAACTGGTGGCAAACTAAAGTATGTTCGTTTCTCATCTCCATCTCTTGTTCTAAAGTTATGTTCAAAAGCAGCATACATTATGCGACCAATACCAAAGGAAGGTTCAATTACAGAAGGAACTATTTCTTCTACATGTACAGTTTTCTGATATCGTTTTACTTGAACCATATCTTTTGTAATTTTTACTTCAGTACCATTAGAGAGTATCAAAACATGTTCTCCATTTTCATTTAGATCAGCTTCCATAGTATTAACCTCAGTCTCGGTTAAGGCTGCTAATGCATCTTGGACGAACTTGCTATCTTTTTTAAACGTTTTACCAATTATAACTTTATTTGGTACTATTTCACACACATCAACATTTTTTGGTGCTGGTAACTTTTTCTCTGCTACAAGTTTCACTCCAGTGGCTTTAGTGTGTTGGGTAAGATCATAAGCAGAACGATCTGCGCAACCAACACATTCAATCCAACCATAAGAAGTTAAACATTCAGCATCCCAACAATCACATGCATAATGAGCCATTTCATTTCCCATATGTTGACGGAAACGTAATTTTTTTGGATCAACTCCAACTTTAATTAAAAATTCATAAATTCTACCCATAAAGTATCCTAATGTTTCATTAGCTATAAGGTTTGTTAACACAGCATCACCTAAAGTCATATATTGTGCACTCTTTCCATCCATCTGATTGCAAGCAGAATATAAAAGTAAACTTAAATCTTTAACTGCTTCAAATTTGGAATGACTTTTATCACAAGGGTCGCAAAAATGTTCTATTTCTGCCATAGTGAACTCTCTCACTCTTATCAGCCCAGACCTTGGAGATATTTCATTACGGAATGCATTTCCAATTTGAGCCGCGGCGAATGGCAGTCTTTCTTGATTAAATGCGAGTAATCTTTTAAAATTTACAAAAATACCTTGGGCAGTTTCTGGTCTCAAAAATCCTTTTACAAGACCTGATGGACCAATTTGAGTTCCAAACATTAAATTAAACTCTATTGGCGGTGAAAGATCATTCCCAGAGATTGGAGAATTTATTTTGAATTTGGATAAAACTGCAGCCATTTCATCTTTTGTCATCCCGTCTAATTTAATAATAATATCTTTACATTCTGCCCGTGTATTTTCATTAGTTTTCTTATCACTAATGATTTTTTCTAAATGCGCTTTGATTAAATGGTCTAATCTGAAACACTCTCCAGTCTTTACATCCTTCACCATCAAGTCTGCAAATCTTTCAACGTGTCCAGATGCTTTAAGTACAGACTCCGGTGTTAAAATAGAGCAATCAACTTCTAACATTTGTTCCTCCAAGACAAAGAAATTTCTCCAGTTATTTAACAAATTTGTTTTAAATGCACAACCCATGGGGCCAAAGTCAAATTGACCAGTAATACCACCATAAATGGCAAATGACTGATCCAAGAAAAATCTACGCTTTAAAAGATCTTCCATTCTTGCCCTATCGAATGTTGATGATTCCGAAAGAGACAACTCTTTATCCTCCAATAACTTTTTTCGAAGTTTAAGCTCTGCAACTGCTTTCTTGATGTCCAATTCTGGAGCACCATCAGATTTAAGTTTTCTGACATGATCACCCTTTAAACAAAATAATAATTTATGATATATAGATAATTTTAAGCAAAAACTTTAAAAAATTAGTTAAAAATGATTCAAAGAAAATACAAAATTTAATTTCTTATCTCAACATACTTTTAACATTAATGGTAATTGAAATTGATTGTCAATAATCACGTGTAAATAAACTTAACAGTAAATAATTAGTATCCATATGGCACTTACTTGTTCCTTGACACTAGCTCGAAGAGGTGACAGGATTTCTTCAATTTTTGGATTAGACATATCGGAGAAAATTTGTATTTTCACTTTTCGATCTTTTTTATTCGTACCCCACTTACTAAAATCGGCTAACCTAGAGGTAACAGAAAATCTTCGAAAAGCCTGTTTATTATTTATTATAATAGTCTTGCATATGGCCGGTGCAGTTCTTCTGGAATAAAAGAGTATATTACACGAAATGCACTGCATTCAGAATGCTTTCTACTTTGATGTTTGATGAATATACGATTTCCACAGTATCTCTTACTCGAAAGTATCCCAGGTACAGATTTCTAATAATACGATACTGTTAGCGGCAATATTTGATATAATTTCAAATAATTGATGTAAAATAAAAGTTAGAAAAGCAGATTAAACTAGTGATTTATTACAGCTAATTAATTTGCTTTTAATTGCTTTCTGTATAATATATTTCAAATAACATAGTGTTAGTAAAACGTACGAAATAAATAATATATGCTTTTAAACACTTTGTAATATTACTTTTTGAACTCTTGTAATATGTAATATTAACACTATAAATAAAGAACATTTATTATCTATAACGATATTCTTATATTTTTTTCATAAAGAATATATTCCAAAACAAATAACATGTTATAGATACAACTAAAAAGTTCCTAATGAAAAAAATAAAAAATACAAAATATGACGCACATTATACGCAGTTATAAGTTTCTCATTTTTTTTTTATTAAATTAGTGAAGTATCACCAAACCAACTTACTTGTTACAAAAAAAAATTGTTTCTCTTAATTTCGAATTATTTTATTTTCCTTGTACACCATAGCAGGGCTTATAGAAAAATTACAATTAGAGAAAAATGAATTATTTAAAAAACTGAGATGAATATGATATTTTACTCCTAGAAATTTATTCGTTAATTATAACTTTTCAATAAAACCAGCTTTCGTGTGACACATTGAATCACGTAATGTGCATAGAGGAAAGTGTGTACTCAAGAGTGTTTTGTTTGTGCTACCACAGGGATGTTAAAATTTTTGTGGGTAGATTCATTTCTTAATTACAATCTTATCAGTTTGACATATAAGTAATAAGTTCTTAATTCTACGCATTTACATGCACCATGTGTTAATTCCAAGTTAAACAGTTGGTCAGACATAAGGGTAAACGTTATACAAACAATTATATATGTATATGCTTCAATTTCTCTGTATAACAACACTACAATCAAAAACAATCTCTTGATCAGTGTAAACAATTTATTTTACATAAGAGCAATACTCTGACATCAAAAAAGCGATAATAATGGATAATGTATAGTAATAAATAAAGTATGAAATGTAAATAATGGGTATTTACAAGTATGTAAATGGCAAAAAAGCTATAACAGAGACAAAATAATTGTTTCATCTTCCGTAAATATAATCTCGTATGTATTTTGCAATAGATTCTGTCGCTTGTTTGCAAAACTACATCTTACATTAATATCGCGTCATGTAATACCTGTACACTTAAAACCTAAAGAACGTGCAGCCATAACCACGTACTAACATGTAAGATGCGTGTGTTTCTTGCATATAGCAAACACGTGACAGATTCGATGTGAAACACATACTAATAGTATCCAGCATGAGTGCTTATTTTCTATAATAATTCGTCTATAATATTTAAAGGGAGTACCATGATAAACACATATGCGACTCTATATCGCACTTGGAAAATTGATTAAAAATCTCGTGTTCATACTCTCGATTAACTTACGTTAACATAAATGCGCAATTCCGATCCAGTACACTTACCACAGTTATAACTTCTCGCTTAGTTTCACGCAAGAATCAAAGTTAAACTTCGATTCCAAATAAAAATATATAAGCAAAAATTGTCACACGAGAATATGACAAAATATCACAGTTCCGAGTTTGAAAAGTCGCTTCTGAAAATCATGGCTCTCCCTGTCCTTCTTTTATCTATATTCCAAGACAGTCATGAACTGTAAGACATCCTAGTTAACAACAAACCTACATGCTACTATGAGATTATCTATTTCAGAAATCGTAACGTTTAGTAGTGATACATAGTCATATACAACTTGCTAAGGATGCTGTAAACTGTATACTGGCTGCTAAATGTTCCATGTGAATACTGTACGTATAATGTATGTAAAAAGTCAAAGGTTACACACAGATTCAGAGCATATTGTGTAAATGAAGCCTAATTTCATTGTTTAAGAATTAATGGCTAAAGTTATGAAAACCGAAATAACGATGCGTAGTCTGCAATTTATTTCTATAGAAGAGTGATGAATAATGATAAAAATATAATTAAAAAAGTATTATTATTATATAGAATGTACCTCATAATTCAATCGAAGTATTGAAAGTATTAAATTCTATGGTTATACATATTATACTATTATTTTCAAAATGTAAATTCTTCGATATATCAAATAATATAATTTTGTATATAACTTATAAATATCCATCACTCTTCTTATAATAACTTAGGAGGAAGAATCAGATTTCAACGCGATGCATACTTCTATTTTAAGTATATATAAAATCGAAGATGGAATGCTGATGTATAAAATTTTATGAACAATATATTTTACTTTTTTCTTAAACTTTATATTTTTCCGAGCATTGTGCTTGATCAGAATGATTTTCTTCCTCTTTTTTTATTCTTATAGTACCTATATATAAAAGTGATGAGTGTAGCATTTATGCACAAAGTTGAACGATAGTTACAGCATTCCTTCCTTTTTTTACGTTACTTGTTTAAAAGGTACAAACTTCTTTCTGACTCAATATTCCCAGTATCATCTACATAAATTAATCTCAATTTGACTAAAATTGAATAAAAAAATGACGAATAACAAACGTTTGTACAAATTTGTACATCTAAAATATTTTTTTACTTTTATAATCGCAGTTTAATGAAGCACTTGGTAAACGCATACAGTCAGTGTCCCCGAAGTGTAAAAAACGTCATGGTGTCAATGAAACTATAAAATATTAAGTAGAGGGATCACTTGTACACTTTTAAACATTGACATTATTTAGTTGAATAGACGCATCGTAAAACGGCATAGCATTCCAGGCTAAATATTTTGAACATTTTAACAAATTGCACAGTTCAAAGTTAAAAGAGATTATCTCATCTCCCTTGACATAGAGTTGGTACTTTGGAAAAGTACCTAAGTAAATTGAATATCTTAATACAATACTTGTGACTAAATATTTACATCAATGCGTTTTACAGCTTCAGTCTATTAAGCTTCTGAACCGCGACAGCCTTCAAACTTTCGCAATATGCGACATTTCTTGAAATTATTATTAAACTAATCGTGTCTCGAAGTGCCACTGAACTTTCTTACTGAGCAGGTGGTTGCGGCTCACTAGGCATATTAGGATTCGGATATGGCGATAAAAACGAATAATTTGGATAAGGTGGAGGAGGATGTGGGAATGGAGGATAATAATTAGGCGGGTGTGATGAAGGAGGTGCGTAACCTCTATGTATATAAGGATCTGTTGGTGGAGGAGGACCATGAAATGCCGTATACATGCGTGCGTACTCGGTATTGTAAGTCGGCCCGCCGTATGCTGGATATCCAGGTGCACCTAAATCACAAATTTAATGTCAACACAGGTTTATTATATACAAGAATAATGTCATATAGAAGATTCAAACATACCACTCGGTGGATAAGCTGCTGAAGAACCAGGTGCTGGAGGATAATGCTGTGAATATGGATCATACGGTCCCGGTGGATAGGGTCCAGGATAACGACTGCTTGTCGGATGACTGAACGCAGTGGGTATGTGTGTATCATCCCTTGTCGGAGTAGAAGCAACAGTTGTGGTTACCATCGCTTCTGCACTTTTAGTTTCTGTTGCATTTGCTAACGTTTTAGCAGTAGTATTCGGTGGTACTTGCGAATATGTAGGAGGCACATTCATCGTTGCTCTCTCTTCCACAGGCTTTCCTAAGTCTGGTTGTGTTTTTGCGGTGTCTATTGGTAATCTGGGATTTGTTGCATGAGGTGGAACGCCAGGGAAATATGTACCATAAGGAGTGGATAACGATCGTGATCGTGGATCGCTATAATCGTAGTACCGAGGATACTGGGCATACGGGTAACCTTGTGGTACATTAAGTTCGCCCTGTACAGATGTTTCGCGCATACTTGGTTCTACCGTTTTTGGTGAAGTCATGGCATTAGTTCCAGTACCCATGGATGCAGCAGTAGAGCCAATAATATCTGTCATACCTTTAGAACCTTCTGTACCTCGTAACGTAGATGTTGGTGGCACTTGCATAGTCGATGGAGTAGGTTGTGTTAATGATAATGGCAATGGTGCGGATACCGTTGACTGTGTTCCAACTTGCGATGACAATTGAGATGATATCTGTGGAAGTACCTGTGTTGGTACCTGTGGTTGTACTTGCGATGGTACTTGAGATGAGACTTGCTGCGACGATACCTGAGATGGTATCTGAGATGGTAATTGAGGCTGTATTTGAGGCGATACTTGCGGTGGGTCTTCAATTATAATTTCCTCGTTAGACGTGTCTCTCTTTTCTTGTTGAGTTTGAAAAGCATGTCCATAATTTGTTAACGTCTCATTTATTTTTGTAACTTGCTTCTCGATCGAAGGAGAACATTGTTTATTAATTTTTGATGTCAATTCCGTTTCTATTTGATCGTGTTGCGTTTGAACACCTTGCGCCGTTACGGTATCCGAAGTATATACTTGACTATTTTCTTCGGATGACTTTTGTAGAGACGTATCAGTATCCGAATTGGATACACGATTATGGTTAGAAGGGCTATAATCTGTGTTTGAACTTACTTCCGCAACCACATCCTCCAATCTTACTTCTTCGACCCTTTGTTCCGTTCTGACCTGACCATCAGAAGAATTCGAATTTTCTCCCAGAGTTGAATGATCAACTGGTTCTTGCTTTACTTTTGGTAACCTTGAAAGAGAAACTTGATTTGTTAAATTAACTTGACTCAAATAAGGTTTGGCGGTTGCGGTAGCAACAAGTTTTGGTCTTTTCGAAATTTCTTTGTCGGCGAACGGCCTATAATTAGGACCACCTGGTTTATTGACTGAACGACCACTTATTTGGTTACTTGAAGATGATTTCGGTATTATAGAAATGGCTGAATTATTTCTCAATGGAAATCCGACTTCTGGTTTGGAATTTCTCTGTGTCATTGAAGATACACCTATAACAAATATAAATACATTTATTTTTAAAAGTAAAAACACAATTTTAGTAGCATTGAGATCATAGCGTACCTTTTTTTGGTTCTTCCTCCCGTTTCTGTTGATTTAATTTAAGAGCTGTTCGAATTGCTATAATTTTTCCAGATTCTAATTGCATATAAATGCCTTTCGGACTCTTCAGTACCATCACTCGTTGACCAGCTTTTAGTACAATACTTCCTTTATCAGGCGAATTGGTAGGAATAACAACATCTAAAGGTAATGTCATTTCTTGTGCGCTCATTCCTTGTCTTTGCCATACTTCCGCCGGTATCCACCGACTCCCAGTCACACCACGTGAGCCTAAACCCTCGGCACCACGTTGTTGCATTGGCCTAACCGAAGCCACTGGTTTGGATGTAGTACTACTATCACCGCCGCGAATTGCTCTAATTTGTAATCCGCCTGCTACAATAATACATTATATAAAATGTCAATATTTTCACTAAAAATGAATGTAAACAATTTAAGTGCAAGTGTTAAAAGAAAATGAAACTCTAAAATAAATCGTACCCCGTGTAGCAGTATTTCCGGGTACATAATTGTAACTAGGTCTCGAACAATTGGCAGCCATTTTTTCAAGTTCGTATCCACGACGGGCTAATCGCTTTTCTGCTTGACTGAGCTTTTTATCTTTTCGGTCTACAAGAAGACTCTCATGATGGAATGGCTGCTTCGTAAGCAAAGACGAATATCGTTCTAACACACGATGCATGACTTCATCTGAATAACTGTCTTTCGTTTGTGAAAAATCTTGTACTTGACTATCCTCTTCCCAATCCCAAGACAATGTAGTCGCTTCTTTTAATGAAAGATGAGCATCTGGATTACACTGATCAACAACGCGATCAGCCATTCCTTGCTTACTAATTTGCCTGTCGTATATTTTTCTTTCTAGGCAATTATCGGTAACTAATCGGTAAACGAAACACGGTTTTTGTTGACCGTATCTATAAACCCTACAGACAGCCTGCGTGTCATGACAGGGATTCCAAGAAGCGTCAAACACGATAGCACGATTTGCGCCAACAAGATTAATGCCTAATGAACCAGCACGTGTTGAAACGAGAAAAAGATGAATTTTTGAATTATTATTAAATTCATTGATAAGTTTTTCTCTTTCTAAAGCACTAGTGCTTCCATCTAGTCTATAATAATTTACATTTTTAATCCAAGCATCTATTTGTCCATCTGGATGTTTCAAACTATTTCTAGCTAAAAAATCTTCGATGAGATTCAATGTAAACAATGATTGAGAAAATGCTAAAACACGATCACCAAGCGTGATTGCTTCTTCCAAAATACAAAAGAAAATTGTCATTTTTGCAGACGCGTCAATTAATCCTGGTACATAGCCCTTCATTAATTCCGTTGCCTGTAAATAACAAACTTAATTAGCTACTTATAAATTAATATTGTACATGTTTCATTTATATTATATTTACCCAATCATATGGAATTCCAGGATCTTCTTTTCCTCCTGAAAAACTTTTAGAGTCTTTTTCTTCATCTTTTGTAAGAATGTCATCGTCTGACTTATCTTCTTTATCTTTATCTAACAAATCCTCTTTTTCTCGATCATCTTCCTTTACTATATCATTTTGGTTTAGTCGAGGACTGTGTGATGAACCAAGATTTTGCACAGATCTGGACACTGGTGTTTGACAGCTCGATTCAGAACTATAATTTGAGCTTGTAGAAACATTACTCTGATGTATTGGTTGGCTCTGTACGCCGACACTTGCAGTCATTTCTTTATTACTTTTATCACAAGAACCTGAGTTTTGAATATGAGTAGTAGACTGCTGTGGTTTTGAATCATCTGATCGTGAATTCACATCTGAATTATGATTGTTACTATAATCATAAGATTGATTCTGATAATTTTGTGATGGAAAGTAATTATTTTGATATCGATTCACGTTAGGATTTACATCCCGATAATATGGATCGTTACACTGATCAGATCTAAATGGTTGAGAATAATTTCTTTGCCAATAAGGATCTTCTGGTCCCTTCATTTGACCTACTTGATTTTGATGCGTACCATCTGATGAGTAACTTATATTCTGTTGAGTTTGGTTTACTGGATAGTTATTTGTCGAATTAGTAGAGCTTCCACCTTGACGATCGGTTGAAAATTCATGAGGTGTATTGGACGTTGTCGTATAATTTTGAGCTTGTTGTTGACTATCTGATCTGGGATAGACTTGATCATTTTGATTTAATGACGAGGCTGGTGCTTGTTGATTTTGTGGATATGTAAGAGACTGACTCTGAGATTGTTGTACTTGTCCTTGCTGAGAACTACCATACCTATGAGTCGGAGTCTGTGGCATTGATGTTGAACCCTGATGATTAGAACCATATGCATGATTTGAACCTGAAGAAGCTCCTGTTTGATTTTGGGCAGTAGGTGGATACGAAGACTGATTTTGTGGTGCTGATGAAGACACAAGATGTGAATATCCATGTATAGTATTCTGTGCATTTGCAACTGGCCCTTGTTGATCTTGAGGATATCCATGTGTTTGAGTAGGGGCATTTGAAGCTGATTGCCCTGAGGGATATGAAGATGAATTTTGTGGCACGTTAATTTGATTTTGAGCCGTTGTAGGATATCCACGCATTTGACTCTGTGGAACTGATGTTTGATTTGATGGATTCGCCATATATGGATGAGATTGATTTTGTGACATTGGATTTGGCGACTGTTGATTAAAAGAAAGAGACGTTTGCGATGAAGGGTTACTATTTACTTGAGTAGGATAATTATGGGACTGATTAGATAGTGGCATATTTTGTGACTGTGTGCCAGTATAAGTGTGGGAAGAACTTTGTAAAGTAAGACTTTGATTTTGTTGATTAGGGGAAAAGCCGCGATTTTGACTGGGTGCTGTACCCTGACCTTGTTGATTTGGAAGATATCCAGCTGTTGAAGTTTGAGAGGTCGAATTTTGACTTGACTGATTAGCACCATACCCTAATGTAGAGTTTTGTAATGGTTGACTTTCATTTCGTGAATACATTGAAGTGGTCTGGCCTGGTGCAGAATTATAATTTGGGGTCTGGTTAGGTGTATAGGGAGAATAATCCGGTATTGGTATGTTTGTTGACTGATTTGGCATTTGTGATTGAAAAGAAGATTGGTTTGGAACTTGAGGATAATTACTAGATCCTTGATTTAAGTTTGATGCATAATTACGTCCATGATCTTGATAAGGATAAGCCTGGCGTGAAAACATCCCTGATACTTCATAATTGTTTCCTTGATTTTGGTCTGAACGAAATTCTGAATTAGGAGTATTCGGATACCTTTGCGAATGGTTGTTTGCAGACTGTTCATTATTTGGTATATAATTTTGTGACTGATTTGGATAGTTTTGCGAAGTACTGTATCCCGGAGATTGCGTATATGTTTGGAATGATTGATTTCCATATCTTTGTGGCCCTTGATTATTGTAAAATTCATTATATTCTCCATGGTTATTATCGTTTCTGTAATACACATTTTGGTCATTTGGCCTGTAATTCTGATAACCATGAGGATAAGAATTTTGTGGTATAGAATTTGAATATCCTGAATTATTCATGGGCATAGAATAATTGGAATAATTGTTTTGTTTTGGAGTTGTATGCGAGTTGTCAGATTCTATGTTATCAGTGTTAGATGATGAAGAAGCATTAGGTTGCACACTAGCTGCAGGTTTATTTTTTATAGTTGTGTTCGTTTTCTTTCCCTTTTTAGATTCTCCTTTCGGTTGACGAGCCTTTGAACGTTTTCCACCAGCAGTAGTAGGCTTTTCACCAATTGTTTCTTCCAAATCTAAATCATCTTCTTCATTGGCTTGACGCTTGCGGAGAAAATGATATAAAATATCAGGATGATTCCAAATTTTACAACATACAGCAAAAGCCTTTAACGGATTGGGAACAGCGCGTGTTTTAACAACTTGATTCATAAATGTATCATATAACTGGCGTTGATGCGGTGTCATCCTAACCAGAAGAATATATTCCTCTTTACGCGGTAAAGAAACTTGCAATACAGAATGGGATCTTCTTTGTACAAAACCTTCTAATAAAGCATGCAGTACGTGTGCACGGTACCTCATTAATCGTATGTCTTGTGGTGTTGAGTCAATACATTGCCCATTCTGAATTGGTCTTTCAAACATATTACAGAACTCACTTTTAGTTCCTAAATAATTAGGTCTGACAAAATCAACCATACACCAATATTCCAAGAGGTTATTTTGCAATGGATAACCAGTCAATACAATTCTACGTTTTGTGCGCATTTGTTTCAAAGCCATACTAATGCTAGCATGAGAATTTTTTATTCGATGACCTTCATCACATATAACTAAATCAGGTCCTGGATTAACTAGAGCCGAATGCATTTCATTTAATAAGCCTTTATTCTTATCTTCTTCCTCAACATCAACAGTGTCTTTGAAAGGTTGTCCACGTTTTCTTTTTGCTTTATTTGGCTTTTTTAAAGATAACTGTCTATATAATTCATATCCAATTAACAACACACCACCTCCAAATTGCCAATCTTGAATTACTTTGGCTCTTGCAGTCATGGTTTTATGAGAATCATTTAAGATATGCAGTCGAAAATGTCTTGGTCTTAATTCCATACCAATAGGAGCATCTACACTGAATGGAGTTTGAACTTTTTCTATTTCCTTTTTCTCATCATTCACTATTTCGTCTTTTGTCGTGCAAGTGCCTTCCTCCTTCTTAATGATTTCTTCTGGTTCTTTTTTCACGTTAATTTCTGTATTTACAGAAGACAAAGCATTCTTAAAACATTCTTTTCTAGATTCTTGATCAGCTTCTTGAGGTGTTCGATTTGTATAATTAGAAAAAGTATTAGTAGAGTTATCATAATTTGGATAGACTGATCCAGTGTGATGACTTTCTGTGCTAGGATACAAAGCACTAGGATTTCGTGTTTCTATATTTGAATATATAGAAGTTTGTGACTGGTTTTCTAAACCAGAATACATGTTACCAGGGTTCTGATTTTCCACTCCAAATTTTGTATCTGGCATACTTGATCTCTGTTGCATGCCGTGACAATTTGCTTCTGACTTCATTGAATCAAAATTAGATATTGGATTAGAGTTTGTATTATAGATTGTATTTTGAGAAATATCGCTCTGATAATTTTCATTCGTGTGTACTTGTGAATCTGACATATTTTTATTTAATATATTATCCTGCACATAGCCAGGTATCATGTTATGAGTTTCATATCCCTGATGAGTATATGGGTTTTCTGGCATAATATTCATAGGTTGGGGTGTATTTTCTTGCCCAAAACGATGAGCTGATTCTGTACTAATAGGCCTTGACAGATTTGACATGTCACTTTGATTTCCACAATCATCTTTAATCTCTTGTTTAAGCTCTACACCAGGTTCAGATTTGACATTTAAACCTTTGTTATGTTTTTCGGGAGCATTAGGATCCTCATATGGTAACCACATATTAAATTCTGCTAACCAATTTTGCAGTGTATTAATAGGCATGATACAGAGAACTGTTTTAGCTGTAGTGCATCGAAAAAAAATATCACAAAAGCTAGCAACTTGGAGAGTCTTCCCTAAACCCATACTGTGAGCAAGTATACATCCAAAACCAGAACTAGTTTTGTACCTTTCAATGCTTTCAACAATATTGTCATAAAGAAAACGAATACCACCAATCTGATGAGGTTTAATAATACGAGCGACCTGGGGCGCTAAAAACACATCAGGCTCAGTTTCCGGATGACCCACATTAATTAACACTCTACCATGTTCATCTGGAATGTTATATCTATCATTGGTATGCATACCAGAATTGGATGGATCATCTTCGTTGTCCGTTTCTTCTTCTCCACTTGGATCGCTTAAAACTATACAGTCATCGTCTGAACTTTCGCTAGAACTAGATATTGTTACCACGTCTTTACCCTTAGCCGTTTTTTGAGATTTTAGCCCAGCAGATATTTTTTTAGTAATATGCATCTGTTTTTCACGTAATGCTTCTTCAGCTTCTATGTCTGAGAGTTCAGAATCTGAATAATATTCAGATCTATCCATAGGTTCCTTTTTAGGAACTACGGGTGATATGCTCACAGAAGGTGTCATCATTCTAATTCTTTGCTGTAACATATTGGGACCAATAGGACGACTTGGAACTCGAGAAATTGATGTCTGTACCCCTTGATAGACACCCCTACTCTTTTGCCAACGCGATCCATCTATCGACCTTCTTTGCAATTGATTTGCTTGCATACTAGAAGTGGTCTGAGATCCAGTCCCAGATCCAGAATTTACTTTAAGAAGCACGGTATTTGGTAAACGAACTGGTGTGGGTGAAAATGATGATGATGATGATTGTGAAATAGTAGTTCCTGCTTGATTTTGCTTTCCCTGTAGAAGACTGATTACTCTTGTTTGCGTTTTATTATTCTGCCTATTTATTGCTATCTGACGTTGAACTTCACGAATAATTCTTTGTTGTTCCTGTACCCTTCGCAAACGTTCCATTTCTTGTCGTTGGGCAGACAAAGTAGCTTCATCAAGTTGGTTCTCATCCATTACTTCTCGAATATTTCTTCTCATATTTGCTAGTTTCTTTTCTACCTTTGTTTCACATTCCGATGCACTTCCTTCAGTCCCATCATCCTTTCTTTGTTTCTTTTTGGCTGTATCAGAAAGCTCTGAATCAGCATGCCTCTTATTACTTTCAGCCCCTTCATCCTCCATGGAATGACCTTCGTGTTTGTCACTTTCATGTTCTATGCTCTCTTCATCGTCTGTATCTTTTGAAATTGGTTTTCCAAGCAAATCAGCCTCGGATACTTCTTGGCCTTCTATTGGAGCTCCTTTTAATATAATTAAAAATTATGAAAATGACCTAATATTACTGTGAGTTCTAATTATAAAATACAATATTATACAAACCTTCTAATGGTAAAGTATCCAATATATTAACTGGTTCCTCGTCATCTTCTTCGGGTTGAGAATGATGTCGTTCTGATTCCATTCGTACCCCAATTTGGGAATCAATTGTTTCATCTAAATCCATATCATCTCCTGAACCTTCAGAACGTATTTCTTCTATCTCCTCTGACTGTAATGTATCATTTTTCTTTTCGTGTTCTCCATCAGATGTTTCACCACTAGACTCCTCTGAACTTTCATCATTTCCTGTTTGAGGTTCTATATTGTTCATGTTTGCATTTGTTGAAATTTCATTTGAAATTAATGCTTCATTAGGCTTAGAGCCTGAACGAGGAGTCACGCGTTCTATAGTGACATCCCCAATACGTGTTAAAAAACTGTCCAAACTATTAGACATGATGCGTACAGTTCATTAAGTCACAATGAGATTTAGTAAAATTTTATATGAAATCATGGAATGTCTTGACACTTTTCTGTGTAACACTAATATTTATATTATTTTGTGTATCGCTTACATTATTTACCCATAATTTTATATCCTCTCATGCCTGTAATAAGAAATGTATTCCTTTGTAAGTTTAATATTAAGAAACATTAAAATCCACTCCATTAATAAATTGAATAAAAACAACTACAGCATTAAAAAATTTTAATCTAAAAATAATAAAAAAATAGAGAAAACCAAAAACTGACACAAATAATGCAACACATACATTACAAAATAAAACTATTGTACCTTATGCATGCACTTATTATGCATCGATTTCAATAATTTATTATATTCTCAATATCAAAACATTGTATACAATAATTTTAAATGGATAATAAGTCACTATATATTCATGGAATACATTGCTATATCACGTACAATTGTCTTAAACAACAAAGATCTATAATAAAAACATTTGTGTTTCCTATAAAAGTAAAACAACATAAAGTTTACTTTGTTACGTATGAAGCAACACAAATAAACACTTAACAATATTGAAATTAAAATGTCTAAATCTCAGAATAAAAATGAATAATTATGAGCTTATATAGAAATGTTTACATAGAAGATTGCATGCGTTGACATATTATTGAGGTATACACAGATTTAAAAAAGCAAAGTGTTTCGAAATAGAATATAAACTATGAATCATTCTAGAACACTTGCAATTAAACACACTTGTTGAGAGATCAGCTAGTCACATTCTCGAGCTCACGAACAAACCCTAACAGTAACGAATCGGGCCCGTACTGTTTAACGGAAGGGTTACAGTACACGCACAACATAATTTGTGATAACATAACCGAGGAAGCCGCGTTAAGGTATTCATAATGTTCCGAGTTATTTAAGGCAGAAACTGTCAAACAGAGAGAACGAAAGCAGCAGCTCAGAATGTTTGTTTTCGAACGAGCCGATCCGACTCGACGATTGACACTAGGAAGTCGCGTCGTTTTGCAACCGGCGTCGTCACGTCTCTTGCACACGTCAAATTTTACCAGTGATCCGCGTTTACGACTGCTTAATTAGTCGTTAATTACGGATTAAAAATAATGACACACACATACACACGTCTGATGGACGCCATAGCGTCGTTGTTCGCCGCTCGACGATCACGGTTCTCCGCAATGTCCGAAGATCAGCGAACAAGCCTTGTCACTCGGGTTAATGCACGCATCGTTTCGACCTTGGCACCCGAATCCTTTTCACCTAAGTTGCATGACGAGGTTACGAGAATTCACTTTACCACCAAAAGTTCACTTAAGTTCGCACGCGTCGCTCTCAAGCTTTCCGCGGCATTTTTTTTCACGCACTTTTTCTAACAAGTATATTCCACTCGGTGAAACGCCATCTTGGCTGCGCTATAAAACACATCCGCTGAGTGATCGCGAGGGAACGACACCCACAGCTGGGTAAAATATGCCTTTCAAATAGTAAATAGTAAATAATTAATTTGATTTAAAATCTAATTTATAATTATCCAAATAAAATACTGTATTATTTATGTCAAGTTTCCGAAATTGTATTTAGAAATACTATTACCTACATTTGCATTGTCGTGAAAATAGATTTATGATCTAATTTGGACTAATTTATTTGATATAAACAAATCTATATCTGAATACAATATGAAATATTACTTTAAATAGTAAATGTTAAATCAAGCAAATAAAGTAAAATTTTAAATGTAATATGGATATTTAAGAAATAAAATAGTTTAAAAATTAAAAAAAAAATATACAAATATTTGAAATACTTGTCACAATAAAAATAGAACTGAAATAGAATGTAGATTAGGGTAAAGTATATAAAATTTGAAATATAAATGTCTCATAGAATACCAATATGAAAAATGTAGTTTTTATTTCACTCTGGGATGTTAAAAGTTTGAATTTAGGCTACAGCTTATTGTACTTTCAGACAGTAGGTTTCAAAAATGTGTAAAAAAATATGAACACATCTTCAGGTTTTAAGGCTCTTGAAGGCTGCATACTTTACTACTTCTGTTCCAAATTTTATTCAACTATAATGATTCTAAATACATTGTATCTTTAGTTATCAGTTATCAGCCATGGTTTTATATTTAAAATAATTGTTATAATAGAAACATAATCCGTGTGAACATATATAACAATTTATATAATTACCTTTTGTGCATTATAAATAATATTATTGATTAATTTAAAAACATTGATCAAAATACCTGAATTTTTTAACAAATAGTTTAATCACAATTGAGAACATTTGTATCTAGAATTATGGTAGAAATCATTTTATTCATACTGTCATTATATTATAATAACATAACAATTGATGTAATAAAAACATTCAGTATAAAACATTACATGTTTTCGTCCTCTTTATAAATATATGCAGATTATAATAATTGCTTCATTTTCTGTTATTTTTAAATATACTTAACAAGTAACTATGATTTACCTTAAACTATAGGTATACGTATATGACTAAAATTAGTACGATTTAATATAGCATAGTGTAATATAATAGGATGCATGTAAAATTCTATTATTCTAAACTAAAAAAATTATATGTATATATAATATGTCTTTCATTGACATAAAATATATAAAACAAAATAATTCTCACATTGCACACAATTTGATGTTGATTCACATTGCAACATACTGACATATCAGTAAAAGAAAAGAAAAGTCTGTCAGCACTTTGATATGCAGGAGTAACAAAACTTCAATTTGCACTTTCACATGCATCAATCCAATCATTGTACACATCAAGAGGTTCAGAAAGCAAGTTTATTGTAGTTTGAAAATCTTCCAAACAGACTCTACAAGTAATTCTTGCCGTATTTCTTGACTTATCCCTGTAAATAAAAAAGAAACGTTAAGATATACGATTTAAATGTCATAGAAATCAGAAGCAAATTTGTTATACCCACATTTTAACCTCACATGATTTTTCGTGATTACAAAACGGGCAATTGAATTGTGTATCTAAAGGTTGAATAGCTTTTTTTTTACTTGGAGGCTTTCGTTTACTTTTCCTTCGTCCCATTACGCTTCAAGTATACGAAATTACGTGTATTTTGATTAAAAAATTTGCATTCAACATATAGTGGCCTGTACCAAGCTTTGGTACTATTTGTGTTTGTTGTGTGTGGTGTGTCGACAATCAGCCGGACACGAGAAAATACTGTAAACTGTAAAGTTCATAAAAAAATTACTAAATTTACGCATACGTTTACACAAGAAATACACACTTACATTAACGGCATATACATTAAATAAATAATTTGTAATTTACGATTGTTGCTTTTTAAAAATATTCGAAATACTGAACTAGTTAATTTGTTTCTTAAAGGTTGGCGATCAAACATGGTCTATGAATGATTAAATATATCAAAATCATATCAGTTACGTTTACAATGAACACGTGTAAACAATGCCCATTCATAAATTATTGAAAAATTATTTTCTTAATTGTAGTTTAGAAAATACTTTAATACAAATGAATTAAATGATTTTTATATCGACCTTCTAATGCTATGAATGCTTTAAGTGTGTATCCTTTAAAGAAGAAAATTTTTGATATTTATTTCTTTTAATGAAGTTTTGCACAATTAGCCTTAATTTGAAACAGAAATCTATCCATACCTTTCCCATCTGCAAGGGAAGCAGAAATTGCTTATCAAGTCCTTCGAGTTGATAAGGAACCTTCAAGAAGCAGTGTTTCAAAAAACTTGACTTTAGATAATGATATTTTACAAGTGTAAGTTTATATATATTCATCTCAATTTCTAATAATTAATTATGTTTGTTTAATTGTATTATTGAATTGTATTTTATAGATCCATTTCTGGAACAGAGGCACGAAAAGTCAGAGTGGCACTGACATCATTTTTTGATAGTGTAATTTTAGTAACAGAAACTATTCAACAATTTGGTCCACCTGCGCCAACTTATAATTATTATTAAGTAAATATTCTTTATTGTCCTCCATTGTACATTCCTTTTAAAAAATAATTTAAATATTATATAAAATGGAGCATACGCCTGCTCCGTACGGACCTAGATCTATTTATGGATATGCTTTGTACATAGGTTCAAATATGCTCTTTTTCTTATTCTTGGTTTGGGCAATAGTACCAGATCAAATTTTAATTAATTTAGGATTAACCTATTGGCCTTCCAAGTATTGGGCAGTAGCGATTCCAATTTGGGCCTTAACTGCTCTTGCTACCTTTGCGTTTATTATTTACCCAGCTATAAATTTATTAATGACACCCAATATAGATGATATTACAACTATTATGGACAAACATTCGCGTCCCAAAAAAGAAACTGTTTCAGGTGGTATACCTCCTGTCTTTGACATTCCAATAACTGAAGTTTGCAGAAAATTATATTTACCAAAAAAGAAATAAGAATAAATTGTGTTATAAACTTTAGTAGTATAGTAGAACATTTTAATTAAAATACAATAATATAATAATCTGGTAAGTATATGATAAAAATTTGTGTACATTAAAACAAGTATATTTAAATTTTTTTTCTGTAAAATATTATTTTATTCTAAATACAGTAATTAATTTATAACTGTTTTTAGCTATTCATATAGATACAAGATTAATATATCCTATGTGAATATTATGGTACATTTTTATTTAGTTAGTAATTTTTTTATGATACTAATACGATTCCAGTTATGAATCTCGTTTGTTGCATAATTCGATATTATCAAACTCACTCTTATATAGTTCAGAAGATTAAAACAAAATACGTAATTATCAGTAGTGCTTTTCACAGTGATACAATGCAAATATTTCATCCGAGAAATGAACCACGTGAAAAATCGATTAGCGATAGTGAACAAAATAAGGTTACGAATTATTTCCGGTCCAAAGAAGCTGGAGGCGATATTGTTAACTTGAGAGAATTACTAAAGAATACATTCGATGCAAAAGTTAGGTTCTGTAGTTTTGAGCTCTCGCCGGTAAAAAATAATGATTTTTATCAGAGGTTCGATTTATTCAGAGGTTATTATACTATTATGCATTACATAATGCATTTTCTTTTTATAATACTTTGCCCTACTAGGTTTTTTACAGAAATGAATAATTATCACCCACTTTTTTATGCGCTAACATGGCATATGGAAAATACGACAAAAGATTGTCTATCTTTAAAGTCGATTGATCAATTTCCAAGTAATACAATTTTGCATCTAATTGTTGGTAACATGACTCGCACCGAAGTACTAATTATTCTAAAGAAAATATTAAAATGTGGCGTGACCAATATTTTTGCATTAAAGGGAGGTAATAAAACGTTTTTATAAAAATATTTGAAAATCAAATTTTGTAATTGCAATAAAAATGATTGCTACTTTCTTAATTTAGAAGTTAGTTTTTAAATAACTATTGATTACAAATTTAGATTGTTTTTCGACTAATTCGTAAAACTGAATTTTCAGATTCTACAATCGTAAATACTGACTTTCCACATGCCGTAGATTTAGTGCGTTTTATAAGAAGTGAATTTGGGGATATATTTTGTATATGTGTTGCTGGCTATCCTGAAATGCATCCAAATTCGTCGTCTAAGGAATTAGATTTGTTACATTTGAAAGAAAAAGTATTTACTTTATCTGTATTTTGTTTTCAATTTAAATATTTATAGTGAATATGTACATATGTTAACAATAATTTTGTTTAAAGATTGATGCTGGCGCTGATTTCATTATAACTCAAGTCGTTTTTGAAGCAAATGTTTTTATTAAGTTCGTAAATGATTGTAAAGAAATTGGAATCAATGTTCCGATTATTCCTGGTATTTTATCAATCCCTAATTATGCCTCTCTCGAAAAAATGTCAAAAATTTGTAATTTTAAAGTACCACAGAATATTTTAGATATTTTACAACCTATAAAAGACAATAACGATGAAGTACATAACTATGGAATAAAACTAGTTACGAACATTATTAACGATATCTTTGCAAGTGAAACTACTTATGGCTTTCATTTGTTCACATTAAACAGGTAAACATTTGGTTTTGTTACTTAATTAAGGTGTAATATACAAAGCATATATTCATGTATTTTTTATTTGTAGGACTTTATTATCAACGGAAATATGTAACAAATTAAATATTTTCCAATAATTTTTCGAAAATAGAAAAAATGATTACGATGAAAGAGAAAATGGAAATTACAAGAGCTTGTATATTAAACTTGTGTAAATTCAAGAAATAAACATAATCGTATTACCCGCCAAATTAAAGAGCTTTTACCAATCGTTAAAATTCCCTATAATGATGTACTACTAAAACATAAAAATATTTAATTTATACATCAACGAATAGTATAAACATTCATTAAAATTGCGCTAAATTAGAACGGTCGATTACAACAATACAGCTAATTGTTGCTCTATACTTTCTTGATATATTTGTGACAACGGTAGTATAGTCAACATTTTTTGAGATTTGTCATGAACGTAACGTGGCAAATTTATAGCTACAGATGATCCTTTGAGGATACCTGCTACTGTGCGCATGCGCTGTTGGTATATCCATGACGAACTAGCAGAGGAGTTAGTTGAGTTGGGCGCCAGAGCTCCGCGTGGTCAGTTGAGCAGTTGGTTTGACGGTAACAAGAAAGAGGAAGGATCCGTAAGCCAGGATATACAGAACAATGGCACTCTTCCGTTTCAGTCCAAAACGCTGTTTGGAAGTCCAGGTATGTGACAAACAAATTTACCGAAAAATGATCGGTCTTAAATCGCAATATGATGTTTGAATGATTCCTAAACCAGTACACGTTGTTCCGGTGCGGAATTCGAACGGTGAGCAGATGTTTGACGTGTATCATTAATTTTCTCAATTCTGGTGGGATGATTTTAACCCTATAATCATCCGGGCATACATACGTTACATCATTTGTTCGTTACCAGAACTTTGCACACCGTTCAGAGTTAAGACGCCGCGAGTTCTAGATACGAAGTAGGTGTTCTATCGACCGATGGCTTAACAACTTATTTTATAACACGATTGAGTCTGTAGGTATGCAAATTCGAAAACACGCGATTAATTGTGCGCATCACTTACATTGAAAGGGATTTATTAGTAAATCGAATAAAAGAATATTTTGTGATCAAAAGTTTTCTAATGTATCGAGCGTGGTCCCAGGAGTAGCTTTGCGAAGCTCTAGCAATGCACATTATTACAGACAAATACATATAATTTATAAACATCATACTGAATTGATTCGTGACATTCACAAATGACATAAAGTATTTCACGTAAAGATTACTAGACCGAATAAATACTATTTAATTTTGAAAAAAAGTTTACATAAAATTGTATATTGAACCATATAAGATTCACCTGATCAATAGAACTTCGTATTAATTTAGCCAAGCTTAATAGTAGTTACGTAATAAATTTATAAGAGGCACATAATCGCTATTATCCACTGTAAATTACAGATCAGACAAATAATAATTTAGTGATCGTGATAAACGATTTGCAGATTTAAACAGTATTGAAATGAAAACACAATTTTTTAATATTTCTGTCCACCATAGTATCGAGAGAAAATGAAAACTGCCTTGCACATTCGAAGATATATTTGTACCGCGGAACAATTCGTGCAAAGGTGTGCACTTGAAATTTTATAAATTGCATTGGGGGTGTAAAGTGTATAAACTAACAGTAGATCTCCTTTCGTCCGAAATGCGGAATTTCTCATGACCGCGGATCTGTCAGGGAGACCGATCACGAGTGTTGGCTTCATTCATCGACACTAAAAATAAAAGGTCGGTTGGTTCGCCTGAAATCGAGAGCTGTCAGTCGTGTTCTATTACGATGGATTCTTGTGATGCGTGTTTACCTAGCCAAACACGAATCACTAACCAAAATGGTATCTTGTCGAATTATGAGGTCACGAACACACGTTTGTAGGTCACAAGTACACACTGCGAGCAAAATACTTTCGAGAGAGAATCTCCTTCAGCGGTACAAATACAGAGATGCCCATTGAAGAGTGGACGGCATTACAATTTCGTAAGACACGATAATTTTAGAACGAATTCGAGGTCAAAATCTGTTCCATCCTCTTGATCCATATTGGTCGTGACCTGTTCTTGGCAGACACCTGCTTACCGATCGAACTTTGAACCGGTCACATATTAGAGTGTCCTACAAATATTATACGTATCAATCACGTTGCTTCCTGATTCTTTTTGAAGCGTCTACTAAAATGAAGTATTTGTATTAATATATCGTTGAAAAGCTTTTATTGTGCTGATTACAAAAATATATCTTCTATTTGCTTGTGTTTTCAGTTTTTGTTTCGTTTATTCTTTTTCAACGAGTTTTAAAAAGATTAATGTTGCTTTTGCGCCATTATTGAAAATAAATCAATCTGAATCTTGAAACATCTTTTTAAAGATTATATTTTGCTATAATTGTCAGTTCATAAATTAAGGTTTTGAAATGTGAAATTATTTACTGGGACAGCTTAATAGTTTTCGTTCAAACAGATTCTTCTCAACAAATTTGGTTTTACTTCGTTATCGAAACAATTCTAAATATCATATCTAAAGATACGAAATAGATGAAAATAATTAAAATAGAATTCTAAGCTAATCTACAATTTTAGACGTGTTAATCGTATCGTGATATTATTTTATAGACAATAAACGAGTAAATATCGGTCGTTCAATGATTAATCGCATTGTTCGTTTTATTTAAATCCCTCAGTTGGTTGAGATGAATTGGTGCACGTATAGTACGTACAGTCTACGTATATCCGCTGTAATTTTTGGCAGATTCGAAAACTTTTCGCCCAACTTATATATATGGCACGTTGGTTACCTAATATCATAGATATATGAACGCGACCTTCGGATCGCGTAACACTCTGTCCCAGTAGCGCCCATTTTTTTTTCTTTATAGAACAGAACAGTTTATTATTAACATTTGCTTCGCCTAATATGTTCAATTGTTACCAAAGCTTACTAGAAGTTCATCGATTACCTATTCGTCGGAACGTCTATTGTTGCAATTGCTATAAATAATAAGAAGAATTGAATAATAGAACGCTATACTCGATACCTTTTGCCAGGAATAAACAACGCTTGTTTTTAGATACAATCAAAACACCGATGATAGCCGCGTTGTGTCTCGTGCTCCTTGGTTTTATTTTTATATTCTTTTTTATTATCTTTACGGAGTTTCTACACTTCGTGCAACGTAAGATGTGTTCAATGAATTCGTTTATTACTAAACGTTGCTATTAAGCTTTATTAGATGAGTAACTATTATAAAAGTCTCCAATTTTGTTTGGAAATAAGTTTAATTCAATTGAATTATGAATTTTTGATTTTCTTTTAATAACTGTATGTTAAAGAATAAAAGCTGGATTCTAATACGTTTTAAGTGAAAATCACTGAAACCGTATGCGTTAACAGAGTTGATGGGACTTAATGGGCATCTACGAATACGGTTGGCCAGGAACCTTCAATTCAATTTTCTACTTTAATTATAATCTTCAGTCGTCGACTAGTAGACTGTTGCATTTCAGTGTTAATAAAGACTGGATCACGCGTGACACCCTCTTCGGTCATTTTAGCGCCATTTGATGATTATATGGCGCGAAATCAATTAGATAATTGTGGATCGTGAGTATATGCTATCTGGTAATGCCCTTCACAAGCTTGATAGTTATGTAATCAGAGATAACGAGCGTTGTCTGGTATATATGAAGCTGCGAACAATTAATCAAAAAGCTTGTCCTCTGATCTGACCGGGATTAGCGCTAAGCTTCTACGTTCGCAAATTCTAACGTTACTTTAACGAAAAAATGTTGTTTCGTCGCTATTAAGAACAATTAGAAGTTTACTTATTTGGATGGTTTTATCGTTCGTAAGGAATGTAATATTTTAACATATTGACCCATGTTAAATTTGCGTATGAAATACACTAGTTTACGGTTTTCTAGACAAAATACTAATAAGTTATGAAGTCGATGTTTCACGTGCCAAAACATCTACATAATGCTTAGACGTTTGAACGTCATTGAAACGGACGGCAAAATATGCTCTTAGGCTACAAATGATTACACCCCTGTTTGCTATTATTTACTCTGAGGTCGCCAAGTCCTCCCGTCTAATAGTTGGAATCTCCACACATCTTTGAAACGTGTTACGTAGTGCAGTGCACTTTCTAGTGCAAAGGTCGGTTTCACACAGTCCGATTTCTACAGTATCCAATTATTAAGGGCTAGGAGTGATCCTCTAAATATCTTAGTACAGTGTTTCTTTAAATTTTAAAAAATTTTTGTGTAAATTTCTTGGAGTAGAATTTAGTATATTTTTAAACTGCTTTAAAAAAAATGAATTTACAGAGTCGGTCAAAATTTAATTTCGTCGAAGACAAAGTGAATTTAAACTTTTTATTTGTTGTTTACCAATGCAACGCTAAAAACAAAATGTGAAACAAAATTAGCGTTAATAATAAATTAACTTGATCATTTTATTAGTCTTCTTACATTTTGGTAGGAATGCGGGCTAGTATCATTCGTGGCGTGGTAAAATACAAGCGTTAGTCATATTCGTTCGATGTGGTCCCCTATGAATTTGTCACCCATATCCGGTTGTCATGACATTCAACGTATCAACGTATTCAATAAAACATTAAATTAGTCTTCTGAATTACTGGTTAGCCAGAACTTTAACAGTAGGTATCTACATGCAGGATATCCATCCTAGTAATCGTAGTATAACCGGGAAATGAATGATTGCTTATACAAAAGCAAGTCGAAAATATAAAATAAAATACTTGATATGACCTTCTGTTACCTAAAGAAAACAACTTTGAATCCTGTGGGATATAGTGTACACAACTCTGTACATAGCAATGTGGCAGCATTTTGGCTAATAGTTCTAACAGAATTAACCTTAGAAGGTCTTGTTTTGGTTTACAGAATCATCCTAATTAAACGCAGTCTATATTGAAATTCGTCATATCGGGGCTCATAATTATGTGTTTTCTCGATTACAGAAGGACGTTTAATCCCTCAGATATGGCAAAAATTGGACCAACAAGTTATGTACCTTGAAAATTTTAGAACAAGTTTGAAAGACGGAGTCTTTACGTTGTATACATATACTATAGTTTCTTCAAACGCCACTGTCCCCCATACATTCGCACAGAATAATTTCCTGTCTCTAATTCCGGCTAGCTTATCTCATAATATGATTCCTCTCGGAATTTTACGCTGGTGTGTATACTCTGAGGATACAATTAAGCAAAACCTACGATATACGTATAGTACAGCTACGGTATAGTAGCTGAACGATGGACAAAAGTTTTAAGTACGAATCCCCATACCTGAGGGGTTAAACAAATTTATTTCTATATTTTTGACCTGTTTTTGCATACAAAATCACTTACTTCCCGGCTGTATTACGATTACTGAGGTTCACCGTGTATACATTCTCCATATTATTCTTGGTGTTCACTAGAGAGTTTTACTTTCTAGAGTAGGTCTCGAGAAAGAGTTGTTTCGAATTTGTAAGCGGAAGCGCCTTCATTTCGAAAATTGCCTCGTCACTCATAATCAAACTTAAAAATTTTATTCGACAACCAATAAGACCATGGTATAGAAATTCGTTCGTGACGTCTTCTCAATCGAGTAGTCGATAATTGAAAAATGTAGGTTCTGTAGAAATAATT